TACCATACGACCCAGCAATCCCACTCCTAGGCAAATATCCGGAGAAAACCATAATGCAAAAAGATACGTGCACCCTTATGTTCACAGCAGCACTATTCACAATAGCCAAGACATGAATGCAACCTAAACGTCCATCGACAGATGAATGGATAAAGAAGATGTGGTTATATACATACAATGGAATATTACTCAGCCATAAAAAAGAATGAAATAATGCCATTTGCAGCAACATGGATGGACCTAGAGATTATCCTACTACTACTATTATCCTACTAAGTGAAATAAGCCAGACAGAGAAAGACAAATATCATGATACCAGTTATATGTGGAATCTAAAAAAAAGAGATATCAATGAACTTATTTTCCAAACAGAAACAGACTCATAGTATACCTGAAACTAACATGATATTATAAATTGGCTATACTTCAATAAAATAAAATTTTTTAAATTAAGTATTTTTTTTAATTAAGTATTTTTTTAAAAAAAGGTTTTATGGTGAGAACCATGAGCTGATTCAGTAAGTTTCCACTAAACAACTAGCAATTTTATCCTCATTCTGCTCACTGTTCCTATGTATGTATAATCTGTTAGAGCATATGGGAAAGTAGTATGTATTGAACTGTTACTAAGATATTCTATATCATTTTAAAATAGAAGTAGCCCACCGGGCATCAGGGGCCATAGAACAGGACATGGTCAGGCAGACAGCTTGAGTCCTGGCTCTGCCATGTAGCAGCTGCAAGGCAAAGCACTCACCCAGCTGGGTTCCTTGAGTATAGAAGGGGCTGCTGTGAGGTTTAAATAAGATACTGCACGTGGAAGTTCAGACATGGATGGGGCCATGGCAGGGCTTCTGTGTGGCCCAGTTTCCATTTCTCTTCCTCTAACAGAATCAAAAGAACGACCATTTGTAGAAGTAATATAATATGTAAAGTGTTTTCAAATAAAGAAGTAATTGATCTAGTCATACTTATTAAGTAATACTGTTTGGATCAAGATATATTAGACTTTCAACTGAATCAACTTTCTAGTGATTTAGAAGCAATTTAGACAAAGCCTTTCTAGTGCCTGACATATTGCCCCAGGCAAGTTCTCATTTGGTTTCTTTCTGGCTGTGCTACCCCCACCAAGTCACATCATTTCTGTTTCCCAGTCTTTGAAATGTGGATAATGTCTGTTTCTAAGGTTTGTACGCATCAGGTAAGGTAACTGCCTCAGGCAATATTGATATTTCTAATTAGATGAGAGCATTCAAAACACAAGAACTTCTATTGTGTGGGTTTTTTCTTACTGTTTAGGAGTCTTTTATTTTGTGAAAATAGAAGTATTCTTTCATTTTTCCATAAGTATTTGGTTATAAATAAATGGTTATAAGTTTCACTTTGGGAAACTCCGTTTCCTTTTTTCATAACTTTGGAGAATGTGGTCCCTGAACTTTATTAATTCCATTACTCTCATTTATTATTCATTTTAAGGATGTTTTGACTTCTCCTAAATATCACTCAAGAAAATTTCTAAATATTGCAATTAGGTCCTAAATGCTGGAAATATTTTTCCTCCTTCTGTTATTATTTTTCATATTTTCACTTACTATCTCATCTCCACAGAACTTGGCCTTAAAAGCTGATCTGCCATGTGCTACACACACATAAATAGTTGTGTAGGATACCTTGTCTGTGCTAAAATGAGATGACAGATGTGACAGTACTTTGGAAATTTAAAAGCAAGCTCTATACGCATTAAGGTATTATTATACAAATGTGAATGCAACATTTATTTATTAGGGATATGGAAATAGGGGAGCCTTTCAGAACTTCTGGGCTGAGTCCAATTTAGAATTATAGGCTAGAAAGCTATGTTTTCAGCATGACAGGCAATCCATTGTTTAGATGTGTTTACATCATTACATTTCATGGTTTCAAAAATCCTATCAGTACTGAACTTGATTTTGTTTCTCACATATTTATTTAAGACAATTCGATGCCACAATATTGCTTACATCAGAATAAAAGCAAACAATAGCCGTACTATTTAAAACCCTCTGGATTCCAAGACAAGTATTTTAAACATTGGTTCGAATTGAAAACAAGTAGTCAAACACTGTGTTACCTTTTAAAAAAAATATTTGCTAACGAACAAATTTAATAGGTGGAATGGACATTAAATTTATCTCAATTTAACTTTCAGCACTGGCTTTTCCAGTTAAAGCACTTCCACACGTCTGCTGGGCAAAAGCTATGCCCCTATGAATTACTGAAGCCACCAAGAACTTAAGGTTCCTGGCCTACAGCTAGAATTCCAAATCACTCTTCTGGGGGCTCAGGTAAACGTGAAGCAGTAAAGGGGTTTCTGAGAACAAGGATTTGTCCAGGTGATTTTCTTTTAATTGTGTTTTCCTTTCTTTCAGTAAGTAAGTAAGAAAGCCTGAAGGTGGACTTCGGCCTTTTAGTGGGAAACAGACTGGTTCGGCATGCGTTATCCAACCTCAAGTAAGCCCCTTGGGAGAAACCCCTTGGGAAGGAACCTCAGGGACCGAGCTCCTGGTGGGAAGGAGATGTAACTAGCTGCTTGCTTACAGGAATTTTAATTGCTAAAATTGCTAATTCAAGCCCTTAGGAAGAAGACTTGAATTCAGCTTTACTGGCTAAGGGCATAACATTGGGGAAGACGTGGTCTAGAGACAGTTTGATGGGTTCTAAAAAAAAAAAAGCGAATGGATTTCAAAAATTATTACAGCAAATGACCAGAAGCAGAAAAATAAGAAAAAACATCAATTGGGTGGCTGAGTGGTGAAAAAGTCACATAAATAAAACTGTTCAACAACAAAATTACCAAGTATTTCATATTTTGACAGGTTAAAGCTTTGAAATGGTTCTATTTTTTAAAAGGTACCCATTCATTTCTCCACGATTTCTGGCATTTCTAGACTGAGAAAGAGTCTCAAGACAAATGAAAAACTGCATTTAACACAGCCTAAAGAGCTGCAATCCCAGAATCCCTTTTTCTTATCGATTGGATTCCTGTAGTGCCATCTCCTATTTATTCTGCAGCAAAAGTGCTGTATTGAGCAGTGGGATGTTAGAAAGCTTCTAATAAGCTCCTGGCTGCTGATGGAGGCCTAGGTCTCCATCAGTCATCCGATCATTGTGAACAGTACACAGGAGGGAAATAAGCACATTCACACAGACCTCCCATAGCTCCCAACTCATCCACTGCTTACCTCATTTCTCTTTGTGCATTTTGGCCTTTCTCACCTGGCCAGATAAAAGTTCATTCAATTTTCTCAAGGGCAAGGCAATTCCAGAAAGGGGTGCATTCTGATTGGAATGACAAGAGAAAGATCTAGGCTCTTCAGACGGTAATACTGCCCCTAGGTTGTGAATCTCACAAAGATCATAAGGGAGCAATTGCTAGATTACTTCTGATGTGCATACTCAGGCCAAAGAGTAATTAATTTCCTCTCTGAAAAAAACTGCACTGTGTGGAGAACTCGCATAAATTACATGAGCAGTTCAGACAGGTGATTCTGTTCCTGAATTTGGCACAGGCAGTAACAGATAATGCTTGTTAATGGATGCTCCGCCCTTACTCAGGGAAGAAAAGGGTCCAGGAAAGACCCAGTTTGCATTAATACATAAAGACTACATGGTTCAAGGTTAAAACAAACCATGTCTCTGAAAGACTGTCATTAGAGAAATGTAACCACATATGTGATCCACAGATACTAACAAATAGCAGGAAATGTATGAACATCTTGGGGAAAAAAGCTTTTAGATTCTTTATTTAAAAAAAACATCAGTGAAAACAGTAATAAGGATTAAAAGACAATACTTAACAAGAGAGAGAGGGAAAATTATTCTTTTCTTGTCTCTCCCACATTTTCCACCTCCCTTCAATAAAAGATTCTCCATAATCCCAACATTGCTATTCTTTGCACAAGGAACCCTGAGAACAATTTGATATTGAGCAAGTTGAAAGGAGACACAATATCTCAGACCCCTTTTCTCCAGGGCATATGCAGGCAGAATAGCCATGGCTTCCAGAACATTCTCTTCACATTTTTCTTTCGTGAGCGGCAAGCACTGAATGTTTACCAAAGGCTTTAAAAAAAACAGTATCTCACCAAACAGCTGAGGAAAATATTTAACAACCAAGGCAACGCAATTGCAGTCAAATTTTCACCTCAAGATTCTCATCTTAGGTGTGGGAGGCAGAGAAGCCTCTCAACGCTCAGTCTGAACCTAGAATGAGGATGAAAAGGGTTGATTCTGCCAACAGCTGTCAACAAATGCATAGCTGTGAGCCTCGGGATGACACTGCAGAGCTAGCTGCCCATCTGAATGTGCTTTAGGAAGAGCACCACTATTTGGTCATGGCTGACCTGAGTTCCTGAGCAGCAATCTGCGGACAGGTGAACCACGGACATCCATACCCAAAACACGGAAAGGTCTGAACAGGACAGACCTCTCTCTTCAGTTATCTGTGTCAGGCAGCAGCATCATTTTCAACCACTCGAGGTGACAGCATGAGATGGATGCAACTAGTCCCCATTGTACAATTCTACACAAATGTGTAAACTTGGGAGAAAATGAACCACACTTCTCGGAGTTAATACTCCCCCACCCCCAACTTTTGCCCTGTCATCTGACCAATTTACATTCTATAATCTAGACTTTTATGATTTAGTTTTTCATTATGATTTGATTCTTACACAGTATTACTCCCTTTAGGGCAAAGACTTTCTGGGTGCAAAGAGATCAGACATAACTTCTTCAGTAAAGAAATGGATAACAGGGATCTGTGTACACATTCCATTCCCAGAAAGGTCCATTTCATTCTAGTTCAACTGAGCAGAGAACGAAAGTCATGGCATAAAATGGTAAAATTCCAGTTACGTTGTGCACAGTAGGCATCCATTGTAAGCAACTGTTCAAAACTGGAATGCATTGCTTGATGTGGGTGAAAGACAAAAACAGCACAGACGCTTCGAACACCTTACCTGGGCCATCTGCCTCTCCAGTTTTGATCGGGGAATATCATCAAAGTAGTTTTCATTTCTTCTCCTCCTTGCATCGCCCTGCATGATAATGTGAGGAACGTCTAGGGAGCCACCAGTGGTGTAAGTGCTTTGGCTAAGTGATGGAGACAACTGAGGAGGAGTGTGATTACCACTGGGTTCCTGAATGGAAATACATCATGAAATAAATACCATGTTCTTGTGGCTGACCTCTGGTTTCAAAACTGTGAAATACTGACAAGATACACTGCGGGGGTGGGGAGTCATTTCTGAATCAACTGCCAAGGAATCGATGACATTCTACCATTTTATTAAAGGCACAATCAATACCTCCCCACTAAGCATTTCAGGTTGAAGGTTTACAATGTCAACAATCAGGCTCTGTTTTCTTAAGCCAGCACCACGGATGATCCCAGGAGAGAGGCACACCTATGTTGGGCACCCCTGACACTATCACTTGTGTTTACAAGGGAAGGCACTGTGTCTCTATGTGGACAGAGGGGCCTCACCATGGTAGATGCCATGACAAGAAAGCTAAAGTGGGACCTCATGGGTGTTGATCCTCCATCAGCGAGTGGCCTGGCAATCCCTGCCAGGAAGAGGACACAGTATGGAAATGGCATGTCACACGCACAGACTGCAGAGCAATGCATGTAATGACAGAGGATGGGCTTCAATGGCAAAGAGAACTGGGGGAAACTGGTCCCTGGTGGAGCAGTGGTTGAGAGTCCGCCTGCCGATGCAGGGGACACGGGTTTGTGCCCCGGTCCGGGAAGATCCCACATGCCGCGGAGCGGCTGGGCCCGTGAGCCATGGCTGCTGAGCCTGTGCATCTGGAGCCTGTGCTCCGCAACGGGAGAGGCCACGACAGTGAGAGGCCCGTGTACCGCAAAAAAAAAAAAAAAAAAAAAAGAAGTAAGGTAAAGGGAGGAAGACAGCTGGGCTCTGATGTGTGCAAGTAAGTGGAGGATTGGATCATGCCGATTCTCCAGGCTACTTCTCCCCAGGATGTTCTGGACCTCCTTTGATGGATTAAGGTCCTACACTTTTTCTTGGGAACTTCTGTCTTTGATTTGTCTGTTTCCCTAAATCTCTTCCAGAGAGCCAGAGGGAGAGGTTCAGCAGAGGAAGGAAAGACAGTAGGGTAAGTAGCAGGGAATTACTCCTCGAAAGGGTCATTTTAGGATGGTTACACTTATGGTGCCTGTATCTTTCTCCTCTTTTGTGTAGCAAAACAAAGGCAAAACGATAATCCCTTTCTAGCCTTATTTTCCCCCAATTTATTTGAGGCTCTTCTTACTGAGGGAGAAATAGGTCCTCTTCTATCTTCACTATTCCCTAAGCCTTCACTAGCCTCCAAATAAACCAGTGTATTCCAACTGCCCCAATCGTCAGTTTTCCTCATGGCCCTCCTGGAACCAATTCTCTTGCATTTCCTGAAGTCTTTGTGTATTTTCTTTTCCTTTAAAACTGAATCAGCTTTAAAATCTTAACAGCTCCTCTCCTGCTCGATCCTCTGTGATGCTGACTGTAGTTACTGTTTGCTGAAGTCCACTGATAAGAGGCATTCGACTGCATTTCATCGCTGGCAGTGACATCTAAGTGCTACTTTTGTGTTCGTTTATTATCACTACCCTTTCTGACACTTGCAGAAAAGGAATGAGAAGCAAGCAAGTGCAGGACTCAATAAAGAGAACAGAGTTGGAACTCTCCAACTGGTCATGGTGACCCTGCCTTTATGGTAAATTTTTGAAACGTTTCTACAGGCCTCATGAACACCAGCGACCACTGGCTACTCCTTCCGCTGCCATTCTGCCTGGCAATCTTCTCTCTCTCTGTCTCCTTCCCTCTGCTCTTTCTTGCCTTCCTTCCTCTCCCACTTTATTTCTCTCTTCCTCCTAGTTTTTCTACCCCATAATTCTAAAATACAGCTGAAACAGTTTACTAAATAAAGTTCTAGATTCTCTGCTCTTAATTTTTGAAGTGGGCAAAGCTGAAAATTTTTCACTTCTTAAAAAACAGAAGAACCTAAGGTTAATTTTAAATTGATCTTTTACTTAAGTCTGGTCCTCATCGATTTTCTACCTGTGGGTTTGAGGAGTTTGACAGAAAACTCATTTCTTCTCTTGGTGTAGAGGGGTGTGTGGGATGCGGGGTAGCGGAGAGGTTCTTTAAAGGTGGTGGTTTTTCAGATGTTAATTTAAATCTCAAAAATATATATTTAACCAACCGAGAAAAACAAATCTTGTCGTAGAGAACACTACCAAAGGCGAGATAGTTTTTTATACAGGTGAGGTAGGCTACATGGAAAACAGCCTGTACTTCCTGACCCACTGCTTCAATCATTTTTATTTTATTGCACCAAATAATTTTCGAGGATAAGAGTGGAGGACAAAACAAGCATGCTGGGTACTTACCCTGAGGGTGATGGACCGAGGGGGCTTCTGTGGTGGGTCGTCGTGCAGCCTGTCTCCTAGAGATGCCAAGATACGTTTCCTGTGGCCAATCAAATTGATTTTTAAAACCTGAAAAGACATATATTTGGGTTAAATATTTCACTTGAGAAAAATCATTTTTACGTGTCCTAAAAGATAAAGGAGCGGAAAGAGATTTGTGCAAAGTTACCTCTGCACCAGGAGAGATGTGGTGTGAAATCAGTGTGTCCCCTCGGATCCAGAGAGAGAGGAACAGAATAGCAAGGCAGTGTGGGTAGGAAGAGAAAGCAGGGACAGTGCTGCCACTCAGGCTGCCCTAGGGTCTAACTCTCTACCAAGCAGCCACAGGACCCTTCCAAAGTAGAAGTCAAGCCTCGTCCCTCTAATAGCTTCCTACGGCTCAGAATAAAATCTGAGTCCTGAGCTGGCCTCAAGTTCCAACAAGGCTGCCTGCCCTCTGTCTTTCTCTGTGTCCCCTCCTCTCTCCCCTCCAGCCTTCTCTGTTCTTTGAACATTCCACACTCATTCTGGCCTTGGGGCCTCCACCCTTGTTTCTCCATCTGCCTGGAATGTTCCCCAGCAATTTTCAAATGACACCTTCTCATCCCTTTGGACGTTGTTTAAGTGTTATCTGTCTTCCCACAAAGGCCCTTCCCATCTCCTCTTTAAAAGAACTGAGCCCTCACCCCGTCACACTCTACCCTGTGATCCTCTTCGTATAATTCTCTGAAATAACTTTATTTGCAGGTTTAGTGTTTGTGTAGCCCTCTCCCCCAGGTAAGCTTCCAGACAGCAGGTATACCTTTATCATTACTATTTCCCAAACACCTAAACCAATGTTTGAAATAGTGGGGCTCAATGAATATGAAAGAATGAATGTTAATACAGATGAAAGTAGCAAAGTAGGATTAGAATCAAGTACTGCCTGACCAGAGACTCCCCAGGATGGGATTTTTGAGTCTGACAGGGCTGCAAAGGGCATAGTGTAGAAGAGATAACAAAGGAAACCAAGCCTTGCAGACAGCCTCTGTCCTCAGCCCTTCCCAGAGCTTTACAAATGTTACTCTTTCCTTCATCCCAACATTCCTAACTGGAAGGTGTTCTTCTTGCTTTACAGAGGAGGAGACTGAGGTTCAGAGTGGTTAAGTAGCCCACCTAAGAGCTAGTATGTGGTGGCTCTGGGATTTGAATATGGTTTGCCTGACTCCAAAACTTGTTTCACGCCAAGGCAAACAGCAAAGTTTGGGCATATCTCCAAATATTACTGACTTTTTTAAAACAACAAATTATAAATCCATTCATAAGAAATATATTCACCTCTTTCTGCACAAGTGTAGTACCAGGATAGAACAACCCTTGTTGGGTAACTAGTTCCCAAAGTAAATGACCCATTGTGAAAATGATTTTTTTTTTTAAATTTCTCTTTTCAAGTTTTAAGGGGTTGAAGTGGGCATTTCCTTGGCACTCATCCTGTGCTACCTTGAACTATTATTGGCCTATTTGTCAGTTAGCCTATTGGCCTTTCTGCCTAATCTGATTTCAATTTTAAACTAGCATGATGCTCTATTCCTTTTATTTATTTTTTAATTAAAACTTTATTTATTTTTTTTAATTAATTAACTTGGGATGTCTGGTTTTAATTAATAGTAATCTTTTTTATTTATTTATTTTTATATTTATGTTTGGCTGTGTTAGGTCTTCGTTTCTGTGAGAGGGCTTTCTTTAGTTGTGGCAAGTGGGGGCCACTCTACATCGCGGTGCACAGGCCTCTTCACTATCGCGGCCTCTCGTTGCAGAGCACAGGCTCCAGACGTGCAGGCTCAGTAGTTGTGGCTCATGGGCCTAGTTGCTCCACGGCATGTGGGATCTTCCCAGACCAGGGCTCGAACCCGTGTCCCCTGCATTAGCAGGCAGATTCTCAACCACTGCGCCACCAGGGAAGCCCCCAAATTTATTTTTATTTTTAATTTCTAATTTAATTTTTATTTTATATTTGAGTATAGCTGATTTACAATGTTGTGTTAGTTTCAGGTGTACAGCAAAGTGATTCAGTTATACATATACATATATCCATTCTTTTTCAGATTCTTTTCCCATATAGGTTATTACAGAATATTGAGTAGAGTTCCCTGTGCTATACAGTAGGTCCCTGATGGTTGTCTATTTTATATATAGTAGTGTGTATATGTTAATCCCAAACTCCTAATTTATCCCTAACCCCACCATGTTTCCCCTCTGATAACCACAAATTTGCTCTATTCCTTTTATACTCACTCTCTGACCCATGTCTGTCGAAGATGGGGATGGTAAATGTTAATCAGCGTGTGTCTACCTGCACCACATCCCTCTGATTTTATAAACCTTCATCTTCCCAGGCTGATAAATCCTCTCATCTTTGCAGGTTGTTTTCATAAAGCAGTCCTTTTAGTCCACTCTCTCTGTACCTTCTCCTCCTGTATTCCAAATGCTTCAGGTCTGCTGAACACATTACTCACAACATTCCAGGTATAAGTGAACCATGGCCTTACGAGTGGGCTACTATTTCCTGCTTTTAATGCCCCTTTAAAAATGCCCTTTCTAAGCACTCCTGATTTTGGGCTGGCTTTTTAGCTGCAGTAGGAATAACTAGGCACAAAAATATACACTGACTGTAAAACCTCTTCATTTTGTTATAGCTGATAGTTGAAAGCCCTTTAATCTTGGAAGGATGGTTTGAATGATTTCTCCCTACATTCCTTATCTTACAGTTGTCCATGCAGAAGCCCATCTGCCATCCTTCTGCCCACTCATGTAACCCTGTGTTATCCTTCTATATTCATATTAGCCAGCTTGGCATTTCACTACCCAGAGGAGCTTAGTAGTTCTTGCAAATTTGGGAATTTCACCATATACTCCTTTTTTTCAGGTGATTTACAAATATGCTAAGTGTGGTCCGCGGGCTGATTACTTGCAGGCAATACTGTTCATACAATCCAGAGAAATACCCTTATATCCTTTCATTGTTTCTTTTTTTTTTAAGCATCAAGATCAAAGAATTCCTCCATTTCAGAAAACTACAACATTAACCTTTTCAAGTGTATCTGCAAGTCTAAAAACCACTACATTTTCTTATTCCCTTTTATTCTTATTCTCAATTACTTTGCCAAAGCTTCTATTAGATATAAATTCCTCCCCCAAAATCCCCACTGCCTTTCTCTCAGTAGGGAATTGAACCTGATGCTGCTGCCTTGGGCCCCTAAAACCTGCTAAGAAATGTTTGGGTTTTTTTAAAGATATACGTTTTTAAGATTTATTATTTATTTATTATTTATTTTTGGCCGCATCAGGTCTTAGTTGCGGCACGTGGGATCTTCGTTGAGGCATGTAGAATCTTCCGTTGCAGCGCGCAGGCTTCTCTCTAGCTGTGGTGTGTGGGTTTTCTCTTCTCTAGTTGTGGCGCATGGGCTCCAGGGCACGTGGGCTCTGTAGTTGTGGTGCATGGGTTCCAGAGCGCATGGGCCCTGTAGTTTGCGGCATGCAGGCTCTCTAGCTGAGGTGCGCAAGCTCAGTAGTTGTGGCGCGTGGGCTTAGTTGCCCCGTGGCATGTGGGAACCTAGTTCCCCGACCAGGGATTGAACCCGCGTCCCCTGCATTTTTTTTTTTTTTGTGGTACGCGGGTCTCTCACCGCTGTGGCCTCTCCCGCTGTGGAGCACAGGCTCTGGACGCGCAGACTCAGCGGCCATGGCTCACGGGCCCAGCCGCTCCGCGGCATGTGGGATCTTCCCGGACTGGGGCACGAACCCGTGTCCCCTGCATCGGCAGGCAGACTCTCAACCACTGCGCCACCAGGGAAGCCCTACATCCCCTGCATTTTAAGGCGGATTCTTTACCACTGGACCACCAAGGAAGTCCCAAGAAATGTTTTTTTTTTTTTTTTATGTTGGGGGTAGGAGTTTATTAATTAATTAATTTATTTTTGCTGTGTTGGGTCTTTGTTTCTGTGCAAGGGCTTTCTCTAGTTGTGGCAAGTGGGGGCCACTCTTCATCGCGGTGTGTGGGCCTCTCAGTATCGCGGCCTCTCTTGTTGCGGAGCACAGGCTCCAGACGCGCAGGCTCAGTAGTTGTGGCTCACGGGCCTAGTTGCTCCGCAGCATGTGGCATCCTCCCAGACCAGGGCTTGAACCCGTGTCCCCTGCATTAGCAGGCAGATTCTCAACCACTGCGCCACCAGGGAAGCCACCAAGAAATGTTTTTATAGCAATAAAGCCACTCAAAATTATTTTGACAAAAAACTGACACTAAATAACAAATAACTGTGATAGAATTGAGTTGGCGTAACTTCCATTGCTGCTTTTGGTTTACTCTCTGACAGCTCAGTTTTGGGCAAGTTACCTGATTCCTTTGATCCCAGTTTTCTTGCCTATAAAATAAGGAAGTTAATGCCAATCTCAAATGTTGTTGGAAAGATGAAGAGTGAAACTGTGAGAATAATCAGCACGGTGCCAGCACACAGAAGACACAATCTCACGGTGTGCTCATTCCAGCTAATGGTCTCTAAGGATGCAAGGAAATCTGACCTGCAAAAACAGGGACTTGGTCATTTTCATAAAGCTAATGATGTCAAACAAATATGCTGGTGCCTTGCATCATGAGATGTGGTTAAGCTTGGAAAAACCCTCATTGAAGTGACATGTACTGGTAGTAATGGGTCTGGTTTCTAGCTATTAGTTTAATATCAGACCTAATCTAAAAGAATGCATCCTATTCTCCCATCCCACCATTCAATCTCCAATAGGAGGTAAGCTGAGGCCCTCCTCCACACTAAGCTCCATTGATGCCTCCTCCACACAACTAGCCCGAAGAGGGAAACAGATAGATGGGTGGACAGAATGAACAAATTAACACAGAGTGATGGTTCATGTCAAGAACGCCTGGGTAACTCTCCTTCTATATTAGAAATGATCCTTTTTTTTTTTTTTAATTTATATTTTGGCTGTGTTGGGTTTTCACTGCTGCGCGCGGGCTTTCTCTAGTTGTAGTCAGCGGGGGCTACTCTTCATTGCAGTGTGCGGGCTTCTCATTGTGGTGGCTTCTCTTGTTGCGGAGCATG